GAGCCACTGAGCCCGGCCACACTTTTTTTTTATTACTTGTCTCTGCCGGGTGCGGTGGCTCACACCTGTAAACCCAGCACTTTGGGAGGAGGAGGCTAGAGGATTGCCTGAGCTCAGGGGTTCGAGTCCAGTCGGAGCAACACAGTGAGACCTCATCTCTACAATAAATCAAAACATTAGCAGGGTGTGGTGGCATGTGCCTTAATTCCAGCTACTTGGAAGGCTAAGGTGGAAGGATCTCCTAAGCCCAGCAGGTCGAGGCTGCAGTGACCATCAGTGTGCCACTGCACTACAGCCTGGGCAACAGAGCGAGACTCTGACTAAAAAGAAAAAAAAAACTACTTATCTCCCTTACATCAGCTTTTTTATTCCCAAACATGGCACCCTTCTCTCTGACCCCAATTTCCAGTCCTTCCTTGTTGCTTCTCCTGACCTGGTGAGTCGGGCGCTGTCGGGGCCTCTGACAGTGGATGTGGGCGGAGGCTTGGCCCATTGTACAACTCAGAGTCACCTCAGTCTGAGCAAGGCTGCTGAGTGCTGCCATGGGGCCTGGACCATGAAGCTCTTCATGTAGCAAGCCCAGTACACGTACTTGCCTCACTGGGGAGCTGTCACCTGAAGAAGCACAAGAAATATATAACACAAAGGACAGTAGGGAGCTTTCAGGGTGGTTTGGGAGCAAATAGCGAAGAGGAGAAGAGGAGAGGCCTATATTCCATCATGGCACTGCCACAGTCCTGACTTACCCTGTCAATATCACTGCCCTGCTGAGCCTCTTCCAGCCCACACCTCAGTATACTTTATTATTCCAATATAAATCTGATCAAGGTACCACTCTGATGTCAATCCTTCTGCAGCTCAAGGCCTTCAGGATGGAATGAACACTTCCAGTATCTGATGTTCACTTAATTTCCAGCCTCATCTCTTACATACCGAACTACTTGTACTTTTGGACTACTTGTAGTTTGGAACAAGACTTCAGTCAGTGCCTTTGATTCCCTCCCTTCTTCCCTTTTGGGAGCATTTACAGCGTGTCAGGCACTATACTAAACATTAACACAACGTTTTAATCCTTATAAAGGTTAGCATTTTTAGATCAAGCCATATGAAATTTCTGATATTTGACAATCTTTGACCTAAAAAAAGGTAATTTAGTAGTTCATCCAGTACTCCCCACTCCCCTCCACTATTAGAGGAAACTGAAGCACTGAAAGATCAAGCACTTTATAAAGCTAGGTGTCTTGCTTCTGCCTATCATTCAGGGTGGTAGCATGGAAGTAAATAGTGAAGCGGAGAAAAGGAAGGAGTGGCCCACATTTCATCACAGCACTGCCACAATCCCGACTTGCCTTGGCCAATCTCACTGCCCTGCTCTGGCTTTCTCCTTTGTTTTTCAAGATCATTCCTGACCGGGTGAGGTGGCTCATGCCTGTAATCCCAGCACTTTGGGAGGCCAAAGTGAGAGAACTGCCTGACCCATGGGTTCAAGATCAGTCTGGGCAACTTGGCAAGACCTCATCTCTACAATAAATTAAAAAATTAAGCTGGGCTCGGTGGCTCAGCCTGTAATCCTGTGCCTTGGGAGGCTGAGGTGAGTGGACTGCCTGAGCCTGCGGATTTGAGACCTGCCTGGGCAACTTGGCAAGACCTCATCTCTACAATAAATTAAAAAATTAAGCTGGGCTCGGTGGCTCAGCCTGAGCCCACGGGTTCGAGACCCGCCTGGGCAGCGAGACCTCATCTCTACAATAAATAAAAAAATCAGCCGGGCGTGGTAGCGCGTGCCTGTAATTCCAGTTACTTGGAAGGACGAGGCAGAAGGATTGGCGGAGCCCAGCAGGTCGAGGCTGCGGTGGCCGGGAGTGGCCACTGCACTCCAGTCTGGGCAACAGAGTGAGATTCCAACTCAAAAAAAAAAAAAAAAAAAAAAAAAAATTAGTCGGGCATGCTGGCACATACCTGTAGTTCCAGCTACTTGGAAGACTGAGGCAGGAGAATCATCTGAGACAGCAAGTTAAGGCTGTGGTGGCCGTGAGTGTGCCACTGCACTCTAGCCTGGATGATAGACAGACTCCAATTCAAAAAAACAAAACAAAACATAGTTTCCTCCTTTAAGGTACCCTGTATGGTGAGGTTCCGTGGCTCAGCCTGTAATCCTAGCACTTTGGGAGGCTGAGGCGAGTGGATTGCCTGAGCCCATGGGTTTAAGACCAGTTTGGGCAACTTTGTGAGACCATGTCTCTACAATAAATCAAAAAATTAGCTGGGCATGGTAGCATGTGCCTGTAGTGCCGACTACTTGGAAGGCTGAGGTGGGAGGATCGCCAGAGCCTAGCAGGTTGATGCTGGGGTGGCTTTGAGTGTGTCACTGCACTCCAGCATGGGCGACAGAGTGAGACTCTGACTCAAAAAAAAAAGTAGCCTGTACCTGTCCCTATATCATCATCAATCTTATCAGACTGTCTCGTAACTACTTGCTTACTTGTCTGTATCCTTTATAGTACTTTGAGCTAATGGAAGGCAAGACCTAACTACAAAGTTAGTGTTTATTTTTCCATTACCTAGAATTATACCGGACATATTTTATGTATTTTTTTTTTTTGAGTTGGAGTCTCACTCTGTCGCCCAGACTGGAGTGCAGTGGCCACTCCCAGCCACCACAGCCTCGACCTGCTGGGCTCAGGCGATCTTTCCAACTCAGACTTCCAAGTAGCTGAATCCACAGGCATGCAGTACCATGCCCGGCTGATTTTTGATTTATTGTAGAGATGAGGTCTCGCTGCCCAGGCAGGCCTCGAACTGGCGGGCTTAGGCGATCCACTCACCTCAGCCTCCCAAAGGCACGCGATTACAGGCTGAACCACCGAGCCCGGCTATATTTTATGTATTTAATATTTGTTGAATGAATGAATGAATGAAATGAATGTGTAAAAAAGAAACTGGAAGAAAAAAAGGTGAATGGTAGATAGCATTATGAAGAAGTCAGAGAGGTTAAAGAGATGGAAAAGGGTCTGACTGGAGACTCCCGATGTTCCTTCTTAGGGTGGAAAGGAAAAGGGGCACACTCCTTGGCAGAGGAAGATGTATGAGGGGAAACAACAAAGAAGGGGTCTCACCAGGACAGACGTCTTGACGGCTCAGAGCATGCAGGGTCTGGCAGAGCATGGTGCAGGGAAGGTGAAGCAATAGCCAGCTGAGTGAATCAAGAGCAATGGTGACAGGCCCAGAATCTGTCCTCTTGCATATGGCTCTCAAGGCTCCCAGGGGTCCCCCAGGAAAGGCCTCCCCAGTTTTTGACCAGTTGAGAGGGTCTCTGAAGAGGTCATAGTAAACCAACCTGCAATGAGAAAATAGGAGACAACATAATATTGCCCCTTCCCCCCATTTCAAACTTTATCTTCTGATCTTCATGGCTCCATTTTTTCACTTTTCACTAATATCCAAGATGTTAGTGAAAGATTATCACTGAGTGAAACAGTGATTGAAAAAACAGACTTTGGTGTCAGACAGCCTGAGTTCCAAGCTTGGCTTTACTAATTGTCCAAGGTCACCTGATAAATTACTTAATCTCTCTAAGGCCCAGTATCTTCATTTGTGAAATGCAGATGCCAACCTCGAGGCATTTAGCACAGTTCCTGATATATACAAAATGCCTGACAAATGTTAGCTATCACTATTATCAGATATTTCCTGAGTGATACCTAAAGATATCATTCTGAATGAATAAAGAGAAAGTAAAGGACATAAGACATGGTTTCTGCCTGTAGAACAGTTTACAGAAAGTTAAGAATTTAAGTGAGCCGGGCGTGGTGGCTCACACCTGTAATTTCAGCACTCTGGGAGGTGGAGGTGAGAGGACTGTCTAAGTACAGGGGTTCAAGACTAGCCTGGACAACTTAGTGAGACTTCGTCTCTAAAATAAGTCAAAATTCGAGACCCGCCCGGGCAACTTGGCGATACCTCATCTCTACCATAAATCAAAAATTAGCTGGGCGTGGTAGCGCCCGCCTGTAGTTTTAGCTACTTGAAAGGCTGAGGCGGAAGGATCGCCGTAGTCCAGCAGGTTGAGGCTGCGGTGGCCGGGAGCGGCCACTGCACTCCAGTCTGGGTGACTGGACTCCAACTCAAAAAGAAAAAAAAAAAGTCAAAAAATTAGCCAGTTGTGGTGGCTTATGCCTGTGGTTCCAGCTACTTGGAAGGCCGAGGCGGAAGGATCTTCTAAGCCCAACAGGTCCAGGTTGTGGTGGCCGTGAGTGTGCCACTGCACTCTAGCCTGGATGACAGAGTGAGAATCCTATTAAAAAAAAAAAAATTTAAGTGATGTAGTAGTAACTGTAGAAAGAATTATAGCTCAGAGAAGGTAGATTGGGCTAGAAATCCTGAGATAGCTTCATGGTAGTAGAACTTGTTTCCAGACACTTCCTTTCTACTTCTGATTCTCTTGTGAAAACCATCTTTATCACAACAATGGCTGATACAAAATTAGAGCCTCAAGAGTTAGATCTATTCCGCAGGCCAAACTAGGAAGCAGAAAGCATTTTACTAATGGTCCTTAATTTCTCCTGACAAGGTATATAGGGTGGGTCTAGGATTTATTTGATACTTTCTTCTGTCCCACATCAGTAAGTCCTGGGAATTTAAGGTCCTTTATAGTTGCTCTAAATTTTCCATCCCTACTGCCACTGCCTTGAGTCAGGCCTGTATCACTTTCTTTTTGTGTGTCGAGGTCTCACTTTTATGTCCAGGCTGGAGTGTGGTGGCACAATCACGGCTCACCAAAGCATCGACCTTCTGGGCTCAGGAGATCCTTCTACCTCAGCCTCCTGAGTAGCTGGGAGTATAGGGGCATGCCCTCATACCTTGCTGATTTTTAAATTTTTTTGTAGAGATGAGGTCTCGCCATGCTGCCTAAGCTGGTCTCAAACTCCTGGGTTCAAGCAATCCCACTACGTCAGCCTTCCAAAGTGCTGGGATTATAGGGGTGAGCCACTGCTCCAGCCTAGACTAGTGTTTATTTTTTATTTTTTATTTTTTTTTTGAGTTGGGGTCTCGCTTGGTTGCCCAGACTGGAGTGGCCACTTCCGGCCACCGCAGCCTCGCCTGCTGGGCTCCAGCGATCCTTCCGCCTCAGCCTTCCGAGTAGCCGGAATTACAGGCATGCGCTACCATGCCCAGCTGATTTTTTAAAATTTATTGTAGCGATGAGGTCTCGCTGCCCAGGCGGGTGTCGAACCCACGGGCTCAGACAATCCACTCACCTCAGTCTCCCAAAGGCGTGGGATTACAGGCTGAGCCACTGAGCTAGACTGGTATGATGTTATCACTCCCCTCCCAAATTTTCAAATGACTTCCCACTGCCTGTGTGATAACATCTAAACTTCTTTTCAAGCTGTGTGTGACCTTTTACAACCAAGTACCTCTTTATCCGCCTGATTTCAGACATTTCAGGAATCTCTTCCATCTCCCATGAAAAGGTATGCCTTAGCGTACCTTCCTAACTTTTGTACAAGCTGTTCCTTCTGCCTCTAGAACAAGTCCCTCAGCAGCATGTAGTCAGTGCTGATTCAGGTTTAGAATATATGTTTGAATTAGGCATCATTTCAGAACCATTAAGTAAGTTTTTTTTTTGAGTTGGTCACCCAGGCTGCAGTGCAGTGGTACGCTCTTGGCCACCGCAGCCTCGACCTGCTGGCCTCAGACGATACTTCTGCCTCAGCCTTCCAGGTAGCTGGAACTACAGGTGCACGCTACCATGCCCAACTAATTTTTTTTTATTTATTCTAGAGACAAGGTCTCACCATGTTGTACAGGCTGGTCTCAAACCTGTGGGCAATCCTCTCTCCTTGGTCTCCCAAGTGCTGGGATTATAGGCTTCAGCCACCTTGCCCAGCCAAGCAGGTTTTGAATAATCCAAAATGCAGAACACACTTATTCTTATCCTTCAGTATGGTCTCTAGTGCGAACTTGTACTTTTACCATGATTTCTCTCTCAACTTCTATGATCTTTGCTTTATTTTATTATTATTATTATTTTTGAGTCAGGTTCTCACTCTGTTGCCCAGGCTACAGTGCAGTGGCACAATTGGCCACCACCCCAGCCTCGACCTGCTGGGCTCAGGGGACCATTCCACCACAGTCTTCCAAGTAGATGGAACTATAGACATGTACCATCACACCCGGTATATATATATATGGAATATATATGTTGGAATTTTAAGTGTGAACCACCCTGCCCAGATACTTTTGCTTTAGATTCCCCAAATACAGTTAGGTGTAGCAGCTCATGCCAGTAATCCCACATTTTGGGAGGCCAAGGCAAGAGGACTGCTTGAGTCCAGGATTTCGAGACCAGCCTGGGCAACATAGTGAGATCTCGGCTCTACAAAAAAACTTTAAAAATTAGCTGGTATAATGGTGCGCGTCTATAGTTCCAGCTACTTGAGAGACTGAGGTGGAATGACCGCCTGAGCCTAGGAGGCAGAGGCTGCAGTGAGCCGTGATCCTGCCACTGTACTCTAGCCTGTGTAAGGGTGTAACTCAAAAATAAAAAAATAAATAAATGATTCCCCAAATACCAGTCCTCAACATTAAATTCTTGCCTCCTCAAAAACCCACATCATCCCCTCAGTGAATATTTATACAGGTGCTACTATATACCAAGTTTTGTGACTGTTGCTATAACGAAAATCCGTTAGCAACAGAGGACCCATATCTAATGAAATCTCTTTCAATTTATACTTACCGGTTGTTGACATCAGAGTCAAAACCTTCACGAAACTCTTCTTCGCTCACCTCACAGCTCAGGATATGGACTTGTTCCCCACTGAGGCAGAGATGAGGGAGGGACTGTCAAAAGAGTGGGGCACAGTCTCCGTTTCCAGGGTAGGACGGGAAGACAGCTGCGGGCTACTCACCACAGAGCAGATTTCTTGATAAGTGCCTTCAAAAGACTGCGCCCCTCCCACTCTACAGAATCTGGGGAGAACGGGGGGGGGTGTTTGGGTTTAGTATGAGAGAAATGGGGTTTCTGCCTTCACGAATCTGTCGCGACCAAGCCTGTGACCCGTAGTCCTTCCTCTCCACTTCCGCCCTCTGTGCCAAACCCAGAGCCCCCCCAAAGGTTCTCACCCCGAAGCAGCACCAGGCCGCCGACGGCCAACAAGTCCAACATCGCCTATCCGAGTCCGGTCCGTTCTCGGGCGCCCTCTGATGGCGTCACGACCCACGGCCCGCCCCTTCACCCGGAGGGGGCGGGGCGTTTGCGATTCCGCCCACCATTAGGACCTAACATAGACTGGAATGAGAGGTGATTACGTTCAATATTTCATGAACGGGGTCCCCTCCAGAGATCTCGCTCACAGTCGTAGGGTCAACGCCCTTTATCTATATTTTTGCTGTGACTGGGGCGGCAGGAGCCGTTGGGGCAGTTAATAGTGGGAGGGGGAGGAGGCCCCACAAACTCTCCTCCTCAGGGTCCCAACCACGGGGTTGAGTGACGTCACCCGCCCCGCCTACGTCATTTGAGGCGAGGGCTGCTTCGTCGTAGGCCCCGCCCCGCAGCCACCTTCCGCGCGTGCGCGATACTGCAGCCTTGTTCGGCGTGCTCTCGACTTTCCTTATCCTACCCCCAAGACGGTGTAGGGGGAACATAGTCCCGGTAAAGCGAATACACGTCACCACCGGAAGTAGTGTCAGAGGGGAAGAGGAGGGGGAAGGGAGGAGGAGGGAGCCCTCTGGGCGGTAAAATGGCGCCTGTCAGAGTGGGAAACCCAGCTGCAGAGGCTGCAGCCCCACTCCCCAGCGGCTAAAGGACCCCTGAGCTCGGGGAGGGGGAGGCCGCTCCGGGCCAGCGCTCTGCGCTCTTCGGCTCCCCCTCCCCCTCCTTCCCTGCTCCTTCGCTCAGCAGGCCCGTTCTCCGCTGCCGCGGCCCTTCTAGCGCAGCTGCCCCCGCCCGCCCCTTTCCCGCGGGCAGCCCCCTAGCGCGCCTGCGCAGCGGGCCGCTCTCCGCTTTTTCCCCCGTCCCCTCCCCCTCCCTTCTCCCTCCCTTCTCCCTAGCCCCCTCCCCCACTGCCCCC